TTACTTACAGGCGCATTAAGCAGCTATTTGCCTGGACGGGTCTCAAGTCAGCTGTGCAGGAGTTTGTCCGTTCTTGTTTGACATGCCAGCAAGCCAAGCCAGATCGTTCCCGTTTGCCAGGGCTTCTACAGCCATTACCTGTTCCTGATCGCGCCTGGCAGGTCATTTCTATGGATTTTATCAAAGGTCTTCCAGTATCAGGGGGCCTCAATTGTATCTTGGTGGTAGTGGATACCTTCTCGAAGTACGCCCATTTCATTGGTTTGAAGCATCCCTTCACAGCGGCAACTGTGGGTAAGCTTTTTCTGTCTCAAGTTTATAAGCTGCATGGGTTGCCCACTGCAATTGTGTCTGACTGTGACCGCATTTTTACCAGTCACTTCTGGAAAGAGCTTTTCAAGTTGGCAGGTGTGGATCTTTGTATGAGCTCGGCATATCATCCGCAGTCGGACGGCCAAACGGAGCGAGTCAACCAGTGCTTAGAAGCCTTCCTCCGGTGTTATGTTCATGCTTGTCCCCGGCAATGGAGCTCTTGGCTTGATGTGGTGGAATTCTGGTATAACACTTCTCTGCATTCTGCTTTGGGGAGTTCGCCATTTGAAGTGCTCTATGGATTTGCTCCCCAGCAGTTTGGCCTGCATGCTGCCAATGACTCGCCAATTTCAGATCTGTCTGAGTGGCTCCATGATCGTGAACTCATGACGGATCTGATCAAGCAGCACCTCCACCGTGCTAAGCAAAGGATGAAAAGACAAGCGGATGAGAACCGTTCATAGCGTGAGTTTCAGCCGGAGGATTGGGTGTTCTTGAAATTGCAGCCTTATGTGCAGTCTTCTTTGGCTGATCGTTCTAACCAGAAGCTGGCGTTCAAGTATTTTGGGCCCTTTCACATCATTGAGCGCATCGGGTTAGTGGCTTACAAGTTGGAGCTTCCGGCCTCCTCTTCCATTCACCCCGTTTTTCATGTTTCACAGCTAAAGAAGGTCATGGGTGCTCACCATATTGTCGAGAAGTTGCTGCCACCATCATCTGTTCGCTGGAGTATTCCAGAGAAGATCCTTCAGCACCGAACAATCATTAAGGGATCAGCACCTGTGCGCCAAGGTTTGGTCAAGTGGTCTCAATTGCCTTCTTCTTTGTCTACCTGGGAAGATTTGGACTATCTTCGTCAGCAATTTCCTCGTGCCGCTATCTGGGGGCATCCAGGCGCGCAAGAGGGAGGGGATGTCAGGATTCCTACTCTTGGGCCGGCGCCGGCTAAGCAGCAGGTCTCGTCGGCTTCAGCTGAGGCAGGAGGAAGCATGAAGAGGCCCAAGATAAAGAGTACCAAGGTGTTTGGGCCGGAGTGGGTCGCCAAGTGAGCCCAGTTAGGAATATGTGTGAGTTTGCTATATAAGTGCGGGTCTCTGCCCGTGGAGAGGCATGACTATTGTAATAAACAGCCCTAAACTCGAAACCTGAGATTCATCTGTCTTCCTGCCTCTGCTGTTCTTCTCGCCTCTGCTCTATTCCTCTCGTTCGGTCCCCTTTGCTGCTAACACGCAGCCACGCACCACACTATTAATTATAGTCTCTAGGGACATGAACAAAAATAATTAACTGCATTAAAGTGTGTAGCCGCCAGCCGCCAGATCCTTCATCTCCCAGATTATACCACTTGAAGCTCTGAGATCAAAAGCGTTTGTGTACATAGCTTGCACTACCATAGTTGAGTCAGTTTGTTTCCACTGGTATTCTTGCCCATTCCTTCACCAACTGCTACTTTCAGAGCATGCAATGATGCAATGCATAACGGCCATCAGATCAGCTTTAAAAGCTAGGTCGCGGATCAGCTTCAGAACACCCGCTGCTAGCGTTTGCCAGGTCTACTTGTGCACTGCATCCCTTCCTCCTTCAGTTTTGACAGCTGAATAGGTGCTGATGTAGTGAACCAAAGTCAATGTCGTCTTGCGCCTTTCCCCTTCATGAACTCTACACCTCTCATTCCTTATTTCCTCCATGACTCAATGAGTATAGCAGGATTACAAACCTTCAGGTTTATCTCCGTTGGAAGCTGTAAAATCGTCTGAATCACCTTCCAGTGAAGATTGATTTGTCTCCAACCTAGATCTCATGATACCATCCAACCCAGCCTCCAGCCAAACCTTCCTAAGAATCGTCTATCGTCTTCATTCAATCTCCTACACAGCGGGAATCTAGTTTCATGCCACGCATGCCCAAGTTCATTCCAAGAGCGGGGCTGTTATAAGTATGTACCATTCGCTAGAGAAAATGGTTCATCTTCTGAGTTCCGAGCGCAATTTATCCTCCACAGCTTTTTTTGCTTACCATTACCAAGCTTTCCATGCACATCACTTCCTCCTCTGATGCGTGAGTCCATTAGTCAGCCATCAGAGCCTCATTCATTTGAGGTGGCTTGGTTACCAACAGTACCCGTGCACCTCACTTCCTGACATACTCTCCTCCGTGTAGTCAGCCATTAGAGCCTCATTCATTTGGGCTGAGTGTTGCGGCTCAACTGTAACCAAAAGTGATTGTGGATCGCCCTTGACAGTGGACCTAAAAAGCTACACACAAAGTGGTTAGAGATAAATGGCTACTTCTCCTTCCTTCCACCCAACCACAGGACCCATTTTGTAATGCGCACACTCTATTCGTCTCCTTTTTTGCATGTAGCATGAAAAAAATGTGTATTCCTATCTCCCTCCTCTAATCTTTAGCCACTTGCTGTGAGAGCATTGCTTCCAATGTACTATATTTATTTGTTCATCTATCTTGTCAAGCTTGAACTTCAACACCACCTCTCTATCTATGTTCACCCTATTTAAAACTTCACCCTTTATCCATCCATCAAAAAAATGAAAGAAAAAACTCCCCTACTGCATTTTTCTAAGTCCTTCCTCCTCTTCTCCAGGTGCCTAAGGACATTCTTACTCCAATCCCTCAACGATAATGATAGGACTAGGATGAACGGGCGGACCCCGACCCACGCCGCGCTTGTACCTATTGGTGCCTTTACCCCGACCCTAACACACCTGCGCCCGCATGCCTGCCTTATCAGCCACCGCTCCTCTCTCTCTCTCTCTCTGCACGGTGCGGGCAAGCAAGCTTCTCGGCATAGTGGCGCGGCGGCCTCGGCGTGAGCGGGCCACGACGAGGAGGCCCCAGCGACCCTCGACAACACGACGCAACAGCGCTGGTGGCCCCGGTTACGGGCGGACCAGCGTGGCAGGGCCGACACGAATGGCTCCATAGCGGATCTAGCTCCCTCTCTTAGTCGTGCGGGTGCTGTCTCCTTGCTACGTCACACAGCCGGCACCGCCGGGCCGCTACCTCCAGTGAACTCTACACGCCGACGAGCCTCCATTCTCCCAAGCAGCATGGAGATGTTGCGCTGCACTGAAGGCGGATGTTGCAAGCGTATGTTTTATGTGTTTCAAATATTTCAGAGATATGTTGCAAGTGCTTCATATGGATGTTACAAAAGTAGATCGGGATGTTGCACATGCTGCATATATTGCAAGTGTTTTCAGATGAATGTTATAAACGTTTGTTCAAAATGTTTCATCTATTTCAGACGTATATTTGCAAGGGTTTTGATCTGGATGTTCCATATGTTTCACACATACGCTGTAAGAGTATGTTCCAAATGTTTGTCTTATGTTGCAGCAAGTGTTTTTATGTTGTAAGTGTTTATCTGGAAGTTGCATATGTTGCAATGGCTATACACGTATGTTGTAAGTGTGTATTTCAGCTGTTTTCAGAAGTACGTTGCAAGTGTTTTATCTGGATGTTGCATATATTGCTGTGGTTATACAAATATGTTGTAAGCGTATATGTTTCTAAATATTTTATCTATTTCAGACGTACGTCGTAAGTGTTTTCGTTAGCAGTCACGGAAAGCGAGAGCAGGTAGAGGCCATCCTGCGTGCATGCGTAGCAGCATAGCGTGCGTGCAGTAGACGGAGGCAGGCAGCAGCAACATGCGCATCAGGCAGGCAGGCGTGGCCGCGTGGGCGTCCGACCGCCGGGAGCTAGCCACGCCACGTTGGAGGACGTCGTCCCGCGCCACCTTCAAGCTTGCCTTTGTCAAAGCCTTCCTATGTTTCACCACCACTCAACCGACCTCGAACATGAACGGTCTTTCTCCGCCTCCTATTTGACAGGGATCAGACAGACCGAATGAAATCGACGCCACCAACCTGCCACAGCTCGGTCCAAGCCATCTCTAATGTATACATCCCCTTTGAATTGATGATTCCAGTAAACATGTCCCCGCTGGTTTTTCAAGTAAAACATGTCAAACAAAATGATATATTTGTTTGAGTACATTCTCATAGCAAATTGCCGACTATTGGTGTCGATGCCATTTGCGAACAGAGATCCCACATATACCAAAGCATTAGAAAATTTCCAGGCCACCTCGTGCAATGGCACCGACGTCACATGGGCTTGCTGCAAACGCTTCTTTAACCAATATAACTTTGTTGAACAACGATCGTGCACGCACATAGATCTTACAGACAACGTCAACTTGTTCGAAACTTAAAACTAAGCCAGCAACAAGATGCCCTCTCATCAACCGGACATGGTCAGGAGAAAGCATCGACACGAGACTAGGATGTGCAAAATTTCTTCTGTAGTTTCTAGGGTATTGTTGATCAGCGTCTGCACTACTACACCTTCAATTACAGGAACTACCTAATAAGTTAATCAAAGCAGCTTCAGGCCCCCCAAAAACATGAGCTTAGACGATGGTCCAAAACCCACCAGGACGGACTGGAGCCTGCTCCATGGCAAAACTGATATGTTATCCTCGACCGAAATGGACATTGTCCATGAAAAAGCCTATTGAGTCTTCATTGCTGAGCACTCTGATCTTCCAAGTTACACCTAGCCCTGCCTGTCCAAAGGTCAGAGTAACCAGGCCTACTTTGGGAAACCAGGGTCGGTGTTGTTTTTACAAAGTGAAGGACTTCCATCTTATCAACAAAACTGGCTCATGAGGTGTGCCTTTCATGAAGAGCATACTTGACAACCTCGTAGAAGGAAATGACAATACCAACTGATGGACCAGCACGTGCAACACGTGGGCCGACGCCTGTGAACAGCCCTTTCATGCCTCCAGACCTGCCAGAGAACAATATAAGCAAGCAGCAAATCACAATTATGAGTATTCTTATCAAACCAATTACTAAACTAGAACTAAGAAAAAAAATATATGGAAGTAAGGAGCTCCACGTCACCCATTTTGCCGTTCACATTTGAACAATTCTAATCTAATGGACACAAATGTAGCAAGGCAAAACTAACTAGATCAAAGATCTGCAACCTGCTACAATTTCTTGGGAATATCAAAACGTTCTTCCTTAATACTATTCCAAAAATGAATAATAATATAGATCTATAATAAACTACATGAACGATGGCAGATTATTTTTCTGCAGCAATGTGCAGGTTCAACATACTAGTTCTTTCAGAATTCTTGCTGAAAGTTCAAAGGAAAAAACTGCAGGCTCAACATCAGCGAATTTGAACCAGCACAATTTATACACAAGGGGAAAATGAGTGCAGCATGTAGGCAATACATGGTTTTGTACCGATGGAATGAATAAGTCATGAATCAAACAAGCAAATGCACAAACATCTTGGGCGGGCTGCAAATGGTTCAGCAACTGTGCCTAAAAGACCATGGGCCTCATTTATGGCACCTATCCAATCCGCCTACAATTTTCCAGCCTGTGAAGTTGCAGCATTGATTCGTGTCGGTGCTCAGTTTGGCACCAATGTGGTAGATCACTATTCTCACATAAAAATGACAAACAAATTGTTCAAACCGCGAAAACTAAATCCACTAATCTAAAAATATGGAAATTGTTTCTGGGATTTTATGTCAAGTGAAGTTCACCCACTAGATTTCCACTTATGACCCAGCTCCTAAACCTTTAGGGGGTGTGATGACAGAAATGCCCTGACACTACAAATGTTTAATAAACAGTTTCACCTTTCATGTGCAAGGTTGTCATCTCACTGGTTTCCAATATGTACATAAAAGGAATTTGTATCAGCATGTTTCCCAACCCACCTATTGGTGTATGTTTTGCGAACATACTGTGACCCCCCCCCCCCCCCCTACCACCACCACCACCACAAAAAAAAAACCATGGGACCCAACCGCAGAACCAGATTATTGGTTTCTGGATTATTATGGAAATGACCACCCAAGGCAAATCAAATTTTCTCTAACAAAAATATGCCCTGCTATTTTCATCGTTTTTGCTAATTCAATCTTCTAAAGCCGTCCAACTCTGATCAACTTCCTTATTGCTCAGTCATAAGAAACAAAAAAACTAATATTTTGTATCATATATCCTATTAGCTTTAGTTTGCTAGGTTTCACACATAAATGTTCAGAAGATGCAACTTTCAAGAGCAAATTCAAGCAATACCTACAGAGATGTCAATCAGTAAGTAAACTCATTGATCATATTGATCCTATTAGTTTAATTGAAGAAAATTATTATATGTGTATTATGCATAATAATTGCTACTATGTGTATTATGCATAATAATTGCTACAACAATGAACTTAAGTTTAACAAATACAATCAGAATGACCAAGGGATTGACTTAGCTTGATCTAGTTTTCTAAGGTCTTGCTCTCACTAGCTTTTGAGGCATATTCCTGGTTTCCTATGTCAGCCTATAAATTGAAACTAACACACATAAACAACAATTAAAAGCAAATAATCTAAAACCTGACAGCAAGTCCTTATTTTCAATGTATTTAGGATAGTAATCAACTGGAGTTTAAATTAAGGATAACCTCCAAAAGGTTGAATTTCTTGCGATGATGATGAAAACAGTCATATATTTCAAAAAGAATCTTGCGACTATTTTATAAATAGTCAAATAGATCGTAATATTGAAGTGTTGATCAATCTGCCAGGTGCATTGGCCCAACGGCACACCAGACTCCACTTACATTCATGGAATATTTTACACACAAATTCGCTAATCAGATTTCTTATATTTAATTGAATGGAAGCGGCAAATGAGAATGTCATACAGTCAGGGATGAGTTTTAAAAGAATGTCTCAGGCCAACCTATGTGTCATGTACCTGGGGTTTGCAAACTGGAGTGTAAGAAATCAATTAGGTGAACCCAACTTGCTACTGAATAGAGGCAATGGTTGGCAGCAACTCTATTGGGGTACAGTGGACGACATAGAAAGAGCATTGTTATACGACCAATTGACTGAGCCACATGTAGTGTTCAAAACTGAAACCAACACAAGCACAATAACAAATGTACAGCCCATCAAACATGCTACTTTATATTTTGGGAATGAGGTATTTCCTTACCTCCATATCTCAGTTAATGTTTGCCTTGTAGTCATCCTCATTGCCTTCTCAGTATCTTTCTGAATTTAGAAAGAAAGGAATAAGAAAAACAGAAACAGGAATAAGAAATGGCAATATGCAGAGTATGCCCGCATAAGAAACATGTAGCAGGTGAAAAACAATGGAACATGAAGTATACAGAGTACCAAATAATACACAAACCTCTATCTGTCTCCTTGTTTTTGCAACATCCAGAGGGCATGTAGCACCAGCAGCAAGACTGCCTGCTACAAAACCAGCAGCAAAATTTGCTCCCAATACACTAGCTGCATTGCCTTCTTCTCCAACAAGACCAAGCAGTTTTCTTCGAATCTGCACATGGTGTTAGCAAAGTGAGATTCGTGTCATGAAAGTGCGGCATGAATTTAACAGATAGGAGTTCCCATGACCAAGAGGGCAGAAACTTACAGGCTCAAGAGTTGACCAGCATAAAGCGGAGAAAGGAACATCTCGAGCAAGTTGTGCACCCACCCCAGTCCACAGAACACGATAGTTTTGTACTGTTTCACCAATCAAAACAACAAGCTGTTAGAATCAAGACAAGAATACGGGAAGTTGACAAGTGCCAAAATGGTAAAGTTGATGCCAACATGTCATCCGGTTAAAAAGAATATGTATAATCGACTAGTTACAGAAACAGTTAAAACCAACATACCATTCTGACTTGAACTTGCAAGTGGTGAGAGAACACCAACCAAGGTTTTCCACATTCCAGGAGGCTTTACGCCAGGACGAAACTCTTTATATGCCTGTTACCATAGACTAGTGACTACTTGATATTTTGATGTCGAATGGAGGGAAAAAGAGTTACATAAGACTAAATTGTGCACAGAAACAATGATCTGAGATGAATGCATTATAAGACATAACTAAACTATAAACTACATATGGCATGAGCCCATATATAAAACACTTCACATGGAGGTGTACCTGCATACGTGTCCTTGCCAGCTCAATTGGAGAACAAGCAATACATGCTAATGAACGTGCAACAGATCCTGCTACTAGCGGCGCATATGGTGTCAAGCCAGGAGCATTACTTCTTGTGAAATCCTCAATCCCGTTGCGGAATATATCATAACAAGGCAAGTATATCCCAACCTGTTTGTGATCAAAGAAATTAGTAACAGGTGCAATTGGTTTAAACATGCAAAGTAATATGGATTCAATTTACGTTGTACAAAAGGGGGAAATAGAGAGAAATGGAGATAACAAGTTATACAGAATAGCTGGGTGATATGGGTAAAAACTCAAGTACTCAACACAAATTACAATACTACACGCCTCAGTTAGACAAGTGCAACTTAGTCCAAGATGTAAACCCCATAAAGCTTCTTCTACAAAAGAATGAAATATACATATCTCATCATACAAAGGACAAAATAAACTAAATTTGCTTTCAAAGCTAAGTGAAAATTATATGAATACTTCAAATAGGACAGATTGAAACTACTAAATAGATGTTCCACAGGCAACAGAGCAGCATAGAACATTTATAACAAGGTAATGACCACAAAAATGGAATGTAGTAGATAACTTACAGTGGGTACAGCTAATGCTAAGCCTGCATTTGTTCCTCTCCATAGTCTACTGAAACCCTCCTAAAACGACCAATTAAGCACTGCTGTGAGTTTATCTGTCCATCATATATTGCCACTTGCTCCAAAGAGAGAAAGTATAAAAAGAATGAACACTTAGTTACCTGTCTGACCACTTTCAAGAATACATCAAGTGTTCCCTTGTACTGGAAGCAATCAGGAGGACAAACTGGCTCACTTCCTAATACGAGACCACGTGTGCATGAAGGAGAGCATCTGAATTCAGACAGGATCTGGAAACACTGAAAACACATCAGCAGCAATCCTCAAGTCTAAGACACTAGTTTGAGGGTTAAAGCCATGAGGATGGAATTGGACTGTTGACAACTGACACAGTACCGACAACAGCATTTTTAGAAATAAAATTTTGTTGTAACATAAAAGGCATTGCAGCTTTCCAATAAAAACAAGCAAGGTCATCAAAGACGATAGCTTTAACTAAGAAATCAGCACCATCTATATCAACTAAAAAATGGGTTGTCTACACACACAAGTCCTAAAATTGGTTGCATGGCCAGAATCATCACAGACCTCATCCTAACAATCAGCACTACAGTTTAGTACCCCAGTGGTCTTATAGCAAGATAAATAACATAATCAGTACATCTACCAAAAAGTAACAAAATGCAGCCAAATCCCGCATTGTGCAATAACTGAACACCCCTGACGAACTAACCAAGTATCCAAACCTGCTTGTTGAACAAGCAGTTGAAGGACATGAACTAAGAAGAGTCTACGCAATGCACCTGGTTCAGGTTGGTTGAGCAGCCCACTGATCACTAGCACAAACATAAACCAATCCATGTCATTCCTTACCCGCCTTCCTGGCCAAGCATGAAAATAACAAAAACCATGTCCTGAAATTTGCATGCCAAACAAGCAAAACGACAATAGCTGGCAGATGAACATAGCTACAAACATTTGGATCACACCACTGACTTGGCCAATCCCACAGGGACCATGACAGCAGCCCAGCACTACACATAGACATCTATAAACACAAGCTCCATTTTGGATTCCTCACTGATCTAGTCACCCAAAATACAAATCCTACACGCAGGCACTCGAAGCAGAGATCAGCCACTGAGTTAGCCACTGTCAAATTCAAACCACGCGCAGCGCAGAACAGAATGAATCGGCTTCCTCACCGCATCCGGGCCAAGCGCCGCCATCTGGGCAGGCTGGTGGTACAGCACCCCTGCCGCCTGGGCCTGCAACCTCGTCTGCATCGAGACACAGGAAACGTGTTAGACGCCGAAGCGGACGCACACAAACACTCTCGGGGGAGGAGGAGAGTCCTGCGTGAGCGAGGGAGTGAGTGCCCCGGGGAACCGACCTTGGCGACATCTAGAGGGTTGACGATGATAGCTGAGACGAAGGCGGCGCCGGCGGCGGAGAACGCGCGCTCGAACATCCCGAGCTCCTGGTCCGCCCCCGCGGCCGGAGCGGGACCCGAGGAAGAGGGGGACGGAGAGGACGAGCCCTGGTGCGAAGGCGTTACGCCGGCAGAGAGGTCGACCCGCGCGGCGGCGGCGGTCATCCAGGTGGGGAGGGAGCCCCGAGAGCAGCCCACCATAGCGCCGGACTGGCTCGGAAACCCTAGGCCACGTCGGCTCCGCTCTCGATCGGGGATTCGGGAGGCGTGGGTGGCGATGCGGCCGCGACTGTGGTCCCTCCTCTCTCTCTCCCTCTCCCTCTAGAAGAGGAGGCGGCGGCTCCTGGAATAGAGGAGGCGGAGGGAGGAGGAGGCTGGAGGGTTGGTGTCGCTTTCTAGAGAAGTCCTGTGAGGGCGTTAGGTTTTCTTTTTCTCGCGTGGAGACATCATCGTGTAGTCGTGTCTCGATTTTCATCCCTTTGAATTCCTCCGACTGTTTTTTTTTCCCCTATAAAATTTTGTAGGCTAGGTCAAAGTGTGATCTAAGCACTTACGAAGAGGATGGTATTGATTGCAAGATATATTTATTTTCGTATTATATCACTCATATGTGCCATTTTGATATAAAAAATCATTATAATAGCTTTTATCTAAAAAATACTATCTTGCCAAAAATATCAAAATAGAAATTCTTTGATGAGTACAAATTTCATTAAACAAGCTATATGAGATTAGTTACCTCATGGCATATCCGTTTTTACGAGCCAAAACCAGATATGATAAACTTCATGAACGTTAAGCAAAGTGGGTTTGAGCCTTCCGTACAATGCTGTCTCTCTTTAAAATTTGAAATCCCGTGAAATACCTATGAAGAATCCAAATACAACCTTTTGTAACCAAATGTTCCATTTTCATTTTTCACACCCTATGCAAGTGCAACAAAAAAAATACTTCATAGCCATTGGCAATATGCGCTCTTTTATATAGTTCATTTTTTTAAGGCATGAAAGCATAGAGATTCATAAATTTTCATGCATGTGGAGTATGATGGAAGCATGTAAACCTTAAAGGCTTCTTTGGCACGGTGACTCCTGCAATAGCTTCTGCGGAGAAGACGGATGGGCATCAAACACTTTAAAAGAAACTATTTTTTGGCAAATAGTAAAGGAGACAGAGCCGTTTTCTATCTGGAGCTACAATTTATGTCTCCATAGGGGCATTTGAGGAGGAGCCTTGTCAAACAGGCCCTAATTCTTCTCATGATCATCAATTCACCAATGTACAATGGCACATGTATAGGTAGAAAGGTAGTAGAATTTTTATGTATTAATTAATAATTTTGAAAACTAATATAGGGCATGTTTGGGACTGTTTCGTTCCATATTTTTTAGCTTAACTTCATATTTTTCAACCAAATAAGTGCAGCTCAAACTCTGCTCCAGTAAAAAATATAAAGTTAGAGAACAGAAAATCCATTCTTTTTACGAAGCTGCTCTACGGTGAAGTTTTTCCTTTTTTTAATAGCTCTACAGTGGAGTTGTGGAGCGGAGTTGGTGCTCAAATAGGCTCATAATCTTTCTATTTCTTGTCACTATTTTTTTATTGGTAGAGCTTGAACCGTGAATAAAGCACGCTTCAACCAGGGCATCCGCGTGGCCTCCGCGAATGATGTTTTGCCACCTGGCATTTTTTTTACCGTATAGCGTCGGTTAGTTTAGTCTACGAATCTTTCTATTCCTTGTCACTATTTTTTTATTGGGTTGAATCGGCAGTTATAACCAATTCTCTCGAGCTGCGACTGCAGTGATTTTTTTCATTCAGGAAACCAGAGAAAAAAAAATGGCTGATGCGGACCAAAATGAAAGACCAGAAAGCTAAAGCTTTCTTTTTTTTAAGCTTTCTTGCCTAACAAACCACAGATAGAGCGTTTGACTTGTGATGCGCATCACTCGTCTACTCACTGCCTGACGCCATTGCAACTGTCAGCAGGAATACTGGGCCAACCAAAAACCACCTACAATTTTTTTTTTTTGAGTTTTCAACCAAAATCCCTATAATTAAACCGACACCCAGGACATGTTCAGACACAACTCCCACCAACGTTAAAGGATTCTATCAATCGTGGGCTGGCGTCGCGGTCCACCAATGTGAGTATGATCTCTGGCTACTCGTAGTAACAGAACAAAGCGGTATCCCTGCCCTGCGCGCGTAACAGAGTAGGGGGCGACTCCGCGCAGTCATCCCCCGGCGCGCCCCCTCCACGGTATGAGAAGGATGCAAGACAGCGGAAGACGAGGAGATCTAGGATGCAAGACAGCATAGTAGCAGTTCCTGTTGCCTAGGTCGGCTGCTTTGTCCTGTAAGTCAGCGACCTCGGCTATGTGGACTTCCTCACGACGGTTGAGCTCGTCCTGTAGCTTGGCAACTGCCTCGAGCAGACTAGCTCGCTCCTGTGCTCCCTGCGAGTCTCGCTCCTGGTACTCCCACAGAAGAGCCCGGTCCTAACGTCTCTTCTGCTCAAGCTGAGTCACGTACCTGTCCTGCTCTAGTAGGTGGATAGCCGAGACACGAAGACATCTGTCCTCCTCTGCAAGGATAACTCTGCCGACTGCGAAACTCTGCTCACTAGGGGTAAGACTGAGGTCGAGGGCCTAGGGAAGTAGACGAAACTCTGTCGTCTTCAGGTGCTCGTAGTGATCCCTCATCACTCTGCGAAGAGCCTTGTGTGAGACAGCTCGCAGTCCCTCCTCAACTGTGTCCTCTATAGTCAACTCGGTGAAAGCTGGGACAGTCAGTAAGGTGGTGCTAGCTGGGAACTCGACTGAGGTGACAACTGGTCCTTCGATTCCTCCATCCTGAGCTGACTTCCTGGTATAGGTGACCTTGACAAGCTCGTCGGGGACTCCTAACGTGACGAGAACTCGGCAGAGGGTCTGTGCAAAACCCCCGAGCTCACGTAGGTCGAAGGTAAGCTTGGCGTGGTCCAGAGGTAACGGTCCTAGAGGCGGCCATTCGACGTTCGTTGCCATCTGCATGTTTTAAGGAACAGGTGTTAGCAGGTCAATAGATAGATAAGCCTTGCATAAAAGTAAATGCAGGGTCGGTATATAACCGAAAGAAGGGTTGTCCATGTCCTATTCTATCGTCCATTTCTAAAGGTTTCGTCCTATGGTCAAGTATGGCTTTGATACCAACTGAAACAACCTCGATTTCCACGAAGGGAAATCCACAGAGTCGAAGTGTAATAAGACCGCTGTAGATCATATTACTCAGATTCCAGTCGAATATCACATCCATACAACGATAATATCAGAGTACAATTAGTGTGGAAGTACATAGATTATTACATCGCCGCATTGGTAGAATCAAAAGTAGCATTCATTCAGAACAGCTTGAAGATAGGATCGCCAAACTCGAGCGTAGGAACGAACCCCTCAACCGTCAAACTCCTCGGAGCTATACTCCTCAGCAGAACCTGTGTGCCAAAATTTATCAGTACGATTTGTACTGGCCACTCCCAACCCTATGGGCATTGATTTGTGGAAATTGGATGCAAGTTAGATATAATCAAAAGGAACCTATAAGGTTGGGGTTTCCTATGTATTTAGCATATCAAGTTCATAATAATAGTTGGTTAAGTTTTAACACCATTCACACACATTCCACCCCCTTTCCCATTCCCGAGCCAGGTTTCGATCCTGGGATCGACATACCACCATATCCACACCATCACCATACCACACCCGTACCATCGCTCAGTCGACAGGCCAACTCCCTCTCGGCACTGTCTCAAGGCCCGTAGCCCCTGGCTACGTCCGATCACTCATCCCAGGGAGAGAAAGGAAGGACTCATCTCTCTATCTAGTCTAAGCGAAACCCAGGAAAGGTCCATAGCCGACCAGTCGGCATATGTATCGATCGATCAACCATACACTCTGCAGAGGTTTTACATAACCACAAGATCCGCCTTCCTCGCTGACCGTCATCAACTGGGCTGATTCCGGCCGCTTGCTAGCCTAAGATAATGCCACTCTACCATTCAGCCCTGGTGAAAGCTCTAGTTTGGTTTTGGTAAATTGATGAAACCCTAAGTGCTAACCTAGTTCATCAAGTGATCATGAGATAGGTAGCACACTTTAAGTAGAGAAGCAAATGAAGATCATAACATGACAATGGTGATAGCATGGAGATGATCAAGGGCTTAAACTTGAAGAGAAGAAAGAGAAAAACAAAAAGCTCAAGGCAAAGGTATAACTTGTAGGAGCTATTTTATTTTGATGATCAAGACACTTAGAGAGTGTGATCACATTTAGGTTTGATAGCCGTACTATTAAGAGGGGTGAAACTCGTATCGGAATACGGTTATCAAAGTGCCACTAGATGCTCTAACTCATTGCATATGCATTTAGGATCTAGTGAAGTGCTAACACCCTTGAAAATATTTGTGAAAATATGCTAACACTTGTGCACAAGGTGTTTGTAGGGTTGAGATGGGTTTGGGAAGCGAGGCGGGATTCGGCGCTTTCGGGAAAATGAAATGTCTATTTTCTATTACGCCGGATGCAAAATTCTTGGTGGTTGGCACACTTAAGCAAGGGTGAAGAAGTAAGAGTTGAAATGGAGTTGATCGAAATGATGCTGGCGTCGGTCCAGTGACCGGACGCTGGATCCAGAAGCACCGGACGCTGACTGCCTGTGTCCGGTCGCGTTGACTGTCGGTACAGTGGCTAGGGATGAGCACCGGACGCTGGCTGTGTCCGGTCAAGGTGGACCGGACGCGTCCGGTCGAAAAATCATGCCTCGGGGAGCTTACTGGAAACGACCGGACGCTGGGGCTTCAGCGTCCGGTCAGTTTTACCGGAGCGTCCGGTCAGCTTCGCGACCGTTGAAATCTGACGAACAGCGTTTGAAGCTGTTGACGCGTGGCGTCCATCGGGCGACCGGACGCTGAGGGCCAGCGTCCGGTGAGTATGACCGGAGCGTCCGGTCAGAGCGCGTTTTGCCCAGTGAAGGGGTATAACGGCTCTATTTGATTGGGGCTCTATTTAAGCCCCATGGCCGGCTGTGGCTCTCACTCTTGCACATTTTTATTGACATAGCAACCTTGTGAGCCTAGCCAAAGCCCTCCCACTCATCTACATCATTGATTCATCATCATAGTGAGATTGGGAGTGAATCCAAGTGCATTGCTTGAATGATTG